ATGTTGTCTTTCCATTTCACATTCTACATAATTATTCTGACACTTTGTTTTTTTTTTTTACGAAAACAAGAATTTTAAAAGTCCACTTAGGAGAAGAATAGGATACAGATACAAAGGCAAAATTCTCTTCAGTCTCTCCACCCCAGGCAGAAACTAATTTGCCATGTTAGGCCACAACACTTCATTTAAGAAGGTCAAAGGAAGCATACATTTCTTTTCATAAGCAAATACAAGGATAATAGGTAATATTCTCTAGTCTGTGTGTGAAATTATGTTACATTCAAATGAGAAAGAAGTAGTATATTATCAAGTCTTGTTTTTAGCAACTTCTTTCATTTTTCATGAGTACTTTCTGTTTGGGGCTAATTCATATTTCATATGTAGTCTTAACATTAAGATCTAAAGCTGTACGGGCTCAGTTTTATTTAATACAGATATTGCCCACCTACTGTGTGCCAGGTGCTGGGTTAATCACTATGGGTACATCAGTGAGCAGTGAAGAATACTCTTATTAATGGAACATATAGTTCCATCTAGATTAAGAACATCTCAATTTCATTTCAAGTCCCAGAATCTAAAGTTTAGAAGCCCAAGGGATTTCCAGATGGTGAACCGTTCATTGAATAGATGATGAAATGAAGAACCCTAGAGTTAGTCTCTTCCCCAGAGTCAGAAACTCTGAGAGCAATGACATCTGGATCTCCTGCTCCCTGCCCATTCTTCTTTCCATTATATTGCTTTGAAGCTTTTCTTACTCTGTTCCTCTCTTCTCACCAAGCTCTTTTACTGTTATTTTTTAATCTGCTCAAGATTCCTTAGATGTCTGTGGTCTGGTTTCAATTCGAATGCTGATCTTCCAATTCCCTAACTTATTTTTTGTCATCGTTTGCTTCTTCCCTCTGTCTGACTACATACCTGGCAGATCTGTCTGTCCTTAGAGTCTGATAGACAATTCTGAAGCACTGTGGATCTTTTGAAGATCTGGGAAGGAAGAGCAGTCTGCAGTGACCCTCCTGAGACCTTCCAAACACACACCACTGGCCTTTAGCTTCTTAAAGATAGTTGGGCTTATCCAGCGGCAAGGAAGATCAGCAAACTCAGCTCTTACTTTTCAGACAACCCTAGACTGGAAAACATCCTTGGGGAGTGGGAAATGAGGACATGAAATCGCTTGCTGTGGTACCTACCTATCATTCTGTTAAGGACAGTGAAAACACAGTCTGTCATCCTTGACATTTTAATTGAAAGAAAAGCTTACATAGATTTTAGCTGTAAGCAGTATGTTTATACAAGTGTATAAAGAGGAATAATCTGTCAAGTTGGAAAACTCTTAATGCTATGGGACTCAGTTTAGTAATTGAACAATCCAACATGAGCTCACACATCTTACCTTGTTCCATGCCTCAATAATTTTTAGTAGAAATACTTTACCTAGAGGCATATGGTTATTAAAAAGGAGGCTCAGCTTGCTCAAAGTCTGGAATTATTAGCTCATGGCAACAAGCCTGCACTGGAGAAAGACTGTTGGGTCTTTGTTTTCACAACTTAACTGCAATTTGCCATCTTATTTTCAGAGTCTAACTGATGTGTTGTTTGGGAAGTTTTTTTTTTTCCTTTTTAAAGAAAGAAAACATAATTTCACATGGATGAGTGACTTCTCATGTTAGCAGTATTTCAGAATTTTACTACTTCATTGGAAAGTCCAGGGAGCAGTGTGAATATCAAAGGAAATGGACCATGAATTTATTTTAGTATAAAAAATCAATAGTAACTTAGTTATGGGAGCCATCAAGGTGTGATGGGGGAAGCCCTATGTTGCAAGCTGAGTATAAATCCTGTTTCTTTTCATGACACACATGACCCTGGGCAAATTTAAATGTTTCTTAATTTAGCTTACTCCTTAGTAAAATGGGAATAATATGACCTACGAACCACATTACATTGTTTCTCGTCACATGAAAGTGGAAATGTTTTGAAAAACATAAAACAGTGTGCAAGTGCAATATAAAAAGTTTTATGGAAGTGCAATATATTCAATAATAATTATTCCTTTATACACATAGGGAACTAGACAATTAATATAATTATTCTGGTAACACTCTTGCTTTCATGATCTGAATATTCTGGACAAGTGATTATTTCTTGGGCCAGGCTATATAAATACCCCAGTCTAGTCCTTTGTATTCCCAGTGGTGGATAGGCATAGATTTTTTTTCTTTCTCTTTTTTGTAGTTTTAAAAGCCCAAGAAAGAAGCCTAGAAAACTCCATTGGTTTTGTAGGTGGGTTTGGGTAAATTATTTACAGAATCTGTATAAAACAGTGATTCAAAATTATTCAGAATACAAACATACAGGGTTCGCAAATCACCATTTCCCCACCATGTATGTATTGTTAATTGGTCTGATTGTTACCATTAGGTAATTATTATTATACTCCCAAGGGAACCCTGTACCCTAAAGGCCTTTCTTAATTAATGAGGAAATACTTGATATTTTTAAACCTAATAGATCTATGCATGGTGTGGAAATAACTGACCTAATAAGAACATTGATTTAAATGAAACATACTAGTCCCCAATTACTCTATTCAACTGTGGGAATTTTCCATAGTTTTGTGAAGAATGAGAATTTGTTTCAGATTTAATCACTTTTGCCTCTCCATTCACATTAGCATTGTTTAATTAATTTCTTTTTTAAAAGAACCTGTCAATAAAAAGTGGTCATCAAGATTATTAGTACACCATGTTGGAAGCAAAATGTAAATGATGATAATATGTTGCCTTTTGTTCATGAGGATGATATTGCAAATCAACATAATAAAATGTTGTTTGTTGCTTTCCTGTAACAGTTTTTTGCTTGTCCCTGTCTATACTCAAAGCATTGCTGCTGGTGACCAGGGAAATAAGAAGTCTGTATGTATGTATAGATGGGTATATGAACTTCTTTCTGTCCTCTATCTGGTTATCTATAGATAAGTGAATGAATGTATGAAGGGCTGGTTAGTTATCTGTAGGGATGCTCTCAATGAATCTTTCTTATTATGAAACTAGACAATTCATATTATTAATTTTGTACTTAGAGGAACTGACCATTATTAAATATGTATGCCTTGATATACAGCTATTTTGTTTTTAGCAAAGGTCCCCAACAAAACATTAAGACTTGTGAATATAAAACAAACATTGTCTATTGACTGAGCCACATTTTATACCTTCTGACTCAAGCTATCCATCTCTGAATGAGATAGACTTTTAAGACCGAGTGAAGTTACAACCTACTATAGAATTTTGGAGCAATACTAACAGTTACCTAGAACTGTGAAAGCTGAAGGCTTTCATAGGCCCTACTAATCCTTATTGTTAATCCATACTCCAGAGGTTCACAGGGCACATGACAAGAAGTACTCTTGTACTTCATTTGCTTTTCTGAAAACACCCATTTCATTGTTAACAAGCAACTTACATTAGCCTATCTGTAACTTCTCATACATAGATTCTATTAATAAAACTGGGTGTAATTTGTGTACGTTTACTGTGTAAAGGTTTCATATTCTTTTATATTTTCATATATACAATTTCCTAAACATAAAAATATTGACTAATTTTTGACTAATCCTTCAGTGATGGGTGTGACTGTGACAGCTATATTTCCGAAGGAGCTGTCAGCCAAAAAGAGTGGAAAATGTAATCTTCTTTGGAACTATAACAGCAGTTCGAAGGAAGAACCTGGTGGCATTCCTTCCCCCATTTCAATCTCCCATTTCTTCCTAAGTCACCCACTGAGGCAAATGAACTCCAAAGTTTGAAGAGACCTCTTGTGCTATTCCCATGGGGGTCTGGATGGGCTGTCCTTCCCTGAAGCACAGGAAGGAGACAGCTTATAGAGAACATCTCTGTCTGCAACCATTACCCAGCACTTAGCATGAGGGAATCTTTTTTTTTTTTTTCTTAGAAAATGCATTAATTCTGGAAGCACTAGTTTCTGTCCTGGTGTTCAGGATAAGATGATTGAACATGGAAGACACAGAGGTCCTGAAGGATGTTTGTTTGTTTGTTAAGTCTTTAATTTAATGGCTTGACATTTATATAGCTCCCCAGAGCAAAAACATCAGAAGATTGGGAATTTAACTGAAGAGGTCACTTATTTGCCATTTTTAATAAACAAATAATTCCCTTTTCCCTCAGTCCCACATTCCCTGGCTCATTAAATCAATTTGAGGCCCTTAAAATTTTTTCTGGCAAATTGAAGTAAAAGCTCAAACTATGTACTCCCCTGAGGAATGCTTACCCAAGTCCTGCAGGTCAGGTCAAAATCAGTTTCTGTCAAACAGCCTAACACCTCGAGTTATTGTGAAATGAGGAATTGGTCATTGGGGGCTGGGCTGTGGACCTGCCTGAGAACGTTTGGCTGCAGTGCCATGAACTTCAATCTGGCTACTTTGGTTTGTGTCCTGGGTTTGTTTTTCTTCCATTCACAATAGAGAACTATGAAAAAGTCAAAATACATTTCTATTGGGAATTCATGAATGAAATTGGCTTTGCAAACCCGGATGCTGATAGTGCATGCAGAGCAAAGCCGTGAGGGCTTCCTGGCAGAGGGGTGGATAAAACAAATGTACACAGAGCTCTGGTTCTGAGATCCTCCAGAGGGCAGAGACTTCCCAGTAATCACAGGATTTCACTCCCAAGTGCCTTTCCTCAGATATTGGGGATGTATGAGATTCACCCAGCTTGTGGTCTATTGAACATCAGTTAGATAACACAGTCAGGAAATGAAGTGGAATTTGATGTATTAACTAGGAAGCAGCATAGGAAGCCAGGCTTGTGTTTTATTTGTTATTATTTCCCTAATATCCTCAATTATATGGCTCCCATCGGAGGATGGGATCTGCTGCTCATGTAATGGTGTTGCTCCTGCTGGCTTGGGACACAGGGAGACTGGGAGTGAACCCCCTGCTCAAGGCATCAGGAATAATGTTTGCTTTTATCTTCTGTTCCCAGGCCTGTCCCAGGCTCTCTATCTTCTCTGCTACATCTCCACAACAGACAGAGACAGCCCATGCCAGCCTCCATGCCCGGGACCCTACCCAACCCTACAATGCCAGGATCTTCTGCCGTCTTGATGCCAGTAAGTTCACCTCACTGCTGCTGAACCTTGCCCTTTTGAAAGAGTAAAGGATAAGCTGAGATCTAAGCTGACTCAAAAGACAGTGGCTGCTTTCAGGTAGAGAGTTGAGCTGTGTGTCAGTTTGCTTAGAGTGTCCAGTTGTCCATCCCTAGGCGTCTTGCTGGCTTTTCCATCCTTTAGTGCTTCCCTAGTGAGGCCTCGTTCCATCTTCCTGCCTGTGACAAGTGAACTCAGCACACCCAGGAAATGCATTGTTTTCAGGGGCATAGTGTTGTTTGCTCCAAAGTCTATAGCTTGCTCTATATACACAGTGTCCTTAAATTGCTAGTGAGTGGCCTAGCCAGGACTCAGAGTAATAATAATAACACATAATAGCTGTTAACATGTATTTGTGCATATCATGTTCTATTAATCATGCTAGAAGCATTTATTTGGAGCTTACCATGTACTTAATCACTATAAGCACTTCATCAATACAGGAAACAGTCGTATGAGGCAGGTACTCTTACTGTCCCCATTTTTTGAATGAGGAAAGTAAGACAAGTAAGTTGCTTGACTGAGAAACAGAGCAGCTGAATTTTGAACACCGGAATTCTGGCTCCAGAGCCCACCCTCTTAACCACTGCATGATATATACATTCTTTCCTTTCACATTTACAATAGCCTTTGAGGGAGCCACTGTTATTACCCCCATTTTACAGATGAGAAAAGAGGCACAAGAGGCAGAGTAACTTGACTAAGGTCACAGAGCCAGTAGGTAACAGAGAAAGGATTTAAATCCAGACAGTCTGCCTCCTGAGCCTACACTCATAAGCACTGTATTTTACTACCATCCTATGAAAACTATAGATTAATGTAAAACTGAAGTACAGACTCTTCCAGAGAAAACCTGGCTTTCTTTCCGTAGGACCAACTCCCTGTACTTCTTCATCCTCCCTGGCATTGTGCTTTGGAAAACAACAGTGTCAGCAGTGCCTGGCAGAGCAGAGCATTTTCACATCTTAAGGCATTGTCTACATTTGCTCTTGCAGCAATACTGTGGGCATGTGAGAGCAATCATTATTAATGTACTCATCTCACAGAGGTAAAACTGAGGAGTAGGAAGTTGAATGGAGCTGTCTGATGTCACACAGCTTGTGAGTGGGGAGTTATAACTGGAGCCCACATCTCAACTCATGCTGAGCAGCTCAAATTATCACAGGTCCAGCAATTTGCTCACTTACCTAACTGGAGGCTGGGATAGAGAAGGGCTTGATGGCCCATGCTTACAGAAGTGGACCTGCTTGCTGCAAATTTTGGATAGTCCAGGCTGGAAACAGTAATTACAAAGTGGGACCAGAAGGACAGACCGACTGACTCCTCTGCTGCTCATCTTCAACATCTTTAGATGAAGGAAGATAGCACCATCAATGCCATTGTCCCAGGTTTTATTCAACCCTACCAGTTGCATGAAGACACCCACCACAAGTGGTCTTCAATTCGGTTCTTAATCCCACTTGTCAAAAATTAGTTTCCTTTCAGAAATTCTATGCATTGTTCAGAAAAACACGACTGCATTGACCTTTCTTCCCATTTGACTAAACTGTGTACCATTCCCAGGGACAAAGGTGGACTCTTGGGCTGAAAAGGCCCAGTGAAGGCATGCCTGGCACTTGTTTACACCACATCACCCCTTTGTATGACTTGACCTCCTGTTGATGCTTCAGAATAGAAGCAAAGGATCAGGTGTATGGTCAAGAGCCAGTGTAGCAAGAAGTAAGGAACGCCACCCCACAGGAGCTCCCAAACCCATGTCAGTGGCGAGTACGACTGCTGTGACAGTAGCCTCCGTCGAGAGTAGTGACTCTCCACTGGGGCCAATCTTGTGCTGTCTCTGGAGGCGCTGTTGGCCATTATACCTGGGGGAGGGGTGCTGCTGGATAGCCTGCACAGAGTGGCCCCCACCACACAGAATTATTTGGCCCAAAATGTCAGTAGCATTGAGGCTGAGACACCCTTGTCTAGCATGACACTGCTACCAGTAGTGAAAATTAATGTAAAATCTCTAAAAAGGATATCCAAAGAGTTGTAGGCCCCAGAAATCCAGGCTTTTTCCTTCTCATCATCAAGCCACCAGCACCTGTGCTATAACTTTGGCATTTTAAGCATGTTTTGCCAGTAGAGTTCCTGTCCTGGGGACCCATGATTCCCTTAGTATAAAAAATGAGATTATAACCTCACCCCCCCTGCTTTGAGCGAAATCTTCTGCATCTGTGGATGTTTTGCTGCCCTTGTCTAGCCTGGATTAATACTTAGTCCATAGGCACACACCTGATCATCTGATCATCTACATTTGCCCTCTTACAGCACTAAACTATGTTTTCTACCTTTATCTTGCATCTACCTACCACTTCAGCATTTTATTAAAAATAAAAATAATAATAATAATAGGAGAAATGTGGGATCAACATATAAATCAAGTACAAAAATCAAATGAATATTCATATTTGACCTGATGGTTTATAGGTCATATTGCATGATCAAAACCGAAAGTTTCTGTGATGAATGCCCTTGTACTGTTCACCATGTAAGAATTTATTCACTCTGTAAGAATTCGTTCACCATGTAAGAACTTGTTCGTTATGCTTCAGAAGATTGGAGACTGACGAGAATTAGGCTTGAGATGGATTAATGATTGTACATTGAGCATTGACCCCCCTATACTGAATTTTATTGTTGTTAACAACCATTTGATCAATAAATATGAGAGATGCCCTCTCAAAAAAAAAAAATGAGATTATGTCTGTAGCTGTCAGTGAGATTCTTAACTGGTTTGTATTGCGTGCTGCCAACCCACCCATTTCACAGCAGTCTAAATCATAACAATGCATTTGTTCACTTGCTCATTCACTCATTTCACAGACTTTTATTGAGCACCTTCTGTGGACCAAATGCTGTGCTCAGTGCTGGGCATGTGGCGAAGAGCAAGGCAGGCGTTGCCTTCAAGGAGTTCATTGAGTTGTAATTTCCTATCTTTAAAGTCAAATGCTTAAATAATTTGGGAATGTGAACACCCATTTATAATTACAAAATCCCAGGGAACTGCAGACATTTTAGGTCCCATTTTCCAATTTGTTTCAAGGGAAAAGAAGCATCTCTGAAAAAGGTGGACTCTGTTACTTGGATGTTTCACCTTCAGGGCTGAATGCTGCTGCTTAGTATTCAGCAAAACCACTTCCATTTTCTGACCTCTTCATTCTAGGCAACTCTACAAAGCCACATTCATAGTGCAAAGTCTTATTAGTACAAAGCACCAAACAGTTGCTTTGAAGAGCCTCTTGCTGAGTCCGTATAATCACTAAGATGGAAAAATGGAATTTTTTTAGATAGAGAAATCAGCCTGTTTTCAACGTTCTGTTTAAGTTCTGTTGTGAGTCATGGTGTAGAAATAGTCACAGACTAATTTTTCCAAAAAGTGAGAAGCATGGCTGACTTGAATCCCGAGGCAGCAAGCAGGCTGTTCTCACTTCCTTGTAGTGCATGATGGCTTGTAGTTTGGAAAATTTGGAATAATCATTTGTACTTCTCAGTGATCTTCCTTCAGAAGACTGAAAGCAAAAACTCAACTGAACTTGATTTCCCTCCAGGAGAAGGTCACCTGTTAGAACAAATGGTCAAATGGTATTGTAACTCTTCTCTCCCCCAGCCTCTGGCACCGGGAATTGCATGTGATAATCATTTTCTAGAGTCATATTCATGACTTAACAATTAAGTACATGAATGTACTTAATGGCACTGAACTGTACATTCAGAAATAGATAACATGGTAAATTTTACACTGTGTATATTTTACCAGGATCAAAACAATTATTAAAAAAAAAATTAGAGTACTTAGGATGCTTGGAGAGTTAGTGGGTATATAGGAAGGAACATTTTATTTTACTAAATTGGTAAGGCCTCAGAAGGTTCTGCTGGTGTGCTTTAGAACCTTTAGAAAATTCTCCTTCCTTAAGTAGCTCCTTTTGGAGCAGTTTCACACATGCATAACATGGCGAGGTAACCGATAATAATTCGGGTGAAGGGAAGGTTGACGGTGCTTTGCTATGACAAGGAGTGCCCGCCAGTCATTCATGAGAAGGCCTTTAGGGAGCCTCTTTGCTAACCTGCACGCTGACATCAGCGTTGTGCCCCTGCGCCTGGGGGTGGCGCAGCAATTGACAATGGAAGGGTGATTAACTTCAAACCTCACTCTCAGCTCTTGCCTGTGAGGTTTCTGTCCTCTGCTCTTTGAAGGGATCCAGTGATAAGGAAAGCTGTTTTTTCCAAGACTACCAAAGCTAACTTTGAGTAGAAACCTGGTTCCTGAAGATTTCTGACTATTGTTTTCATTTCCATCCTTTGGCAAATGGAAAAACTTTTGCATTGAATAATCTGTTTTCCCCCTGAGGAAAGTCTAATTATTTTCTGTGTGATTTTAGTATTAAGTGTACTTGCTTTATTCTAGTTCTTTGAAAATTCCTAATTTTCTACTCAACAGAAGATATCAATCAGACACACCCTTCCCAGACTGAAATGGGGATTTTGCTGTATTTATTTTTGAGCAGGGATGCCCCGGAGCAAAAATGCCAGAACTCCGTGCAGGTACTTGAAAGATGTTAATTGTAGACACGGTGCGGTGCAGGCCAGCAGGACAGTGTGGGAGCAGTTGATCATGTGTCATGCAATATCTTCAGCTGCTTTCTCCACCTACCCGGAGGCCTGGCCCTGCTGTGCGGCTGAAAGCTGCTGCTGTGGAGAGTCAGGACTAGGTTAACAGGGAAGAGGAGATGTGCAGCCAGGGCGGCAGCTCAAACACTGGAGCAGTACAGGATAGGCGGGATCGTTTTGATTGTGTTTGCCTGTAAGAGTGACAGGAAGACCCACCGTATTTGACAGCATTACTTTTATTTTTTCTTACTACCGACATGATTCCTGTTTCTGTGTAAAATTTAATGAGGGGGAAAAAACACCTGAGACAACCATTTGGTATATTGTATAGCTTTCTGGCATTTTTCTATGCAAATGTTATTCTTTACAGTTATAACAAATAAATATGATTAGTGGTAATTTAGTGTTTGCAAAGGTGAAAATACTCCATGCCTCAGTTTGGAAATAACCTACCATCACAACATAGTTCTCTCCGGTGCGGGGCATCTTCTGCAGAAGGTGCACCTTTGGGTGATCCTCTGATGTGCTAGAGTTCAAGGCTCAGGAGTGCATTGCATACTCATCCCCAAACCACAACTTTCTCTGGAGTTATTCAAAGAAATTCTAAACGATCCATTTGAAAGTGAAATGTAGCTTTGTGTATGACCTCAACTGCCTTTCTCCAACTTCTGATTCTGTTGCTTTCCTTTCTCTTAGATGGAGAGACAAATGTCAGTGACCTCCAACCTCCTAGGAATGCAAGGTCCAAATCTCAGCAATCCCTGTGCTTCTCCCCAGGTCCAGCCAATGCATTCAGAAGCCAAAATGGTAAATAACAGTCATAGTCATCTTCTTATTATTTTGTGACTTTTTCTTTTGATTTCTTCTGTTACTTCCGACTTTCACTAAAGTCAGGTAGATGGATTTGTTTTGGTGAATAGGTCTGTGGAAGGGCAGTGCAGAGCTTGGCTCTCTTGAAGGATGTTTTTTAATGAACCTTGCCATCAGAGGATCATGAAATAGCATTGGCTCAATCAGTAGGTGGCCTTAATGTAAAGGTTTAGTAATTGTTCATGTAATTTGGACGTTTGGGGAGATCCATAGAAGTTGAGGTGAGGTACGTGTGTGTGTATTTGCTCATAATATGTTATTAACAGAAACAATCCAGAGTTTCCCTTTTTCCTTTGGTCAGTTTCAATGCCATTCTTCTTATCCCCATATCCATTCAAACAATGGGAGTTTTAAGCACATACTGTTATGAAAGTGTTTTTCATTTTTGTTATAATTGTCAGATTAGAGCCTTGTTTTCTTGCAGGGTAATGGCAGCTCTTACTGAAATACATGATTTCAGGTGACAACTTTCAGTGACTTTTACATGTCAGATCATGTACAGTAAAGTCAATGTTTCCAATCATAGTGGTAGATTCATGCATTTATATTCTACTAAATATTAATAGAAACAATGCACATCCATCTGCACAATATACAGTCGATTTGCTAGTTATATTTCATGGCCTTACTTGAAGCAGGTCGTTCAGCTTTCGTATAGTTAAATTCTGACACCACAATTAGTAAGGTATCAGGTGACAACAAAATATACTGCAGCAGAGTTTTTAGTTTCTGATTTTGGAGAGGGAGAGCTTTTGCTAGAAGCTTGAGATTTATTTGGTTTCCTGACTGCCAGTGTTCAGGACTGACTGGTGTGAGGACTTTATGACAGTTTTGAAAATCAGCCATCGTTTTCAATGGTAGCAAGTTTTTCTGGTGCCTGCTTTGGTTGCTTTCTCTTGGAAACTTCACTCATTGGTCTTGCAGCTTCTTGACTCAAGGAAGCAACTGAACACCCAGTGTTGGCTACCTTGGGAAAATAAAATCTGTGGTCAAGAGAGTTCTCTTTGCTGCGCCACAGTCCCTGTGACATGCCAAATGGCACCGGCATCTTCAGCAAAGCTTGTTAAATCTTTTTGGAATTGGCAAATATTTTTTCAACTGAAGCCCTGCAGAGCCAAACCAAATACTTGCTGGCAGAGCAAAGTTCAAACTGGCATCTGTTTTGGAGACCAGAGTAATGCCATTTTACTTTTTTTTTTTTTAAGGAAAATAAAAAATGAACTGTGAAGGTACTTAAGAAAATACAAAATTAAGTTATTCCTGTGTATGAATAAGTGTTCTGGGTCTGAACATCAGATGCTACTCCCCCAGCTGGGTTATTTCTGAATCATCTTGTTTGGTTCAGGGTCTGTGTCCCTTTTGAGGGACCTCCCAGACAAACTTAAGGTGAATTCTAAAACATAGTTCCAAACCAAATTTCCCTGCCAATTGATTTTCACCGTATTTTATGCCACCACTTGACTCAGAAGTGTCCTACCCCTTTTCTTGATGGCAAAGAAGGAAAATGCTTTCAAAGGGAGTACAGGTTTATACTTATTTGTATGTATGAAATAAAAATATGTGATATGGAAAATTAGTAGTGATTAATGATATTCTAGCTGATAACTGGAGCTAAAAGGGAATTGGTCTGTACTTATAAAACAGTGTTACCCCACAAATGTTTGAGGAGTTAAATTTACTGAGCAAGCAGACTATTCTGCTGATTCATGTTCTAGTGAATGAGTATGTCCAGATCCATGATATCTGAGCTGATGATTTCTACCGTGGAGCTGGGGTTTAGGGAGCACAGCTATTCTCTCTGCCCCAGGCTCCCACCCCTACCCCGTTACTGCCGATACATTAATCTAGAGGGAAAAATGATAGCATTGGCCACTTACATTTTGGAAGGATAGCATTTACTTAGGAGCTCAGGAAAGCGTTAAGTAACTTTTAATGTTCGCTCAGCATTTCTATTCTGATTTTGCTTGTTTTATTCACTGGAGAAACCAGTTATTGCTGTCTACCAACTGTACAGTATTTTCTAGCAGCTTTGGGCTGCTCAGATGAAAAGCTTTTATGAAATACAAAGTAGTGAAGAAAAAAAATCTTCCATGATTTTAATGTCAGCCAGAGCCTCCCCAGGTTTCTCTGAACTATGGGCTTTGTTGTTCTATGCCTAATTTTCTTCCTGTGTAAGACTGGAATGGATTCCAGATTTCAACTAAGACTCTTGTTTCACTGTTTTCAAGGACTTTTCTAAAGGTCACATACGGGCCATTGTGATGAATGCACTCTGCAGGGTGTGTTCTCAGAGCTCAAGAGAAACCAGAGTGCTGCCAGGGGGGTGTTGCCCACACCACAACTGCAGACCTGTCCTCTTGGGGACAGTGGTGTCACAGTGTCCATTTCACTCTCTCTATTGGCCACTGACAAAGGCCATCATCCTGAATCACTGGTGAAACTTGGAGGTCCTGGAGAAGGACAAAAAGCTGAAGGCAGGATCGCTCTAAATGAACAGCTTTGTTAGGAGCTATCAGACTAGTGATTGCTCAATAGAATACATCCATTTTCCTTGCCCCAAATTGGTCATTTCTATTGTGGGAGAGAGCAAAACAGGTGTCCCCAAGAAGCTCTAAAGCACATTAATCTGGGACATCCTAAATCTAGGAGCACATGTGCTCCTCTTTTGATTTAACGTATATTAGTATCAAGCAGTGCACTTCAATGTATTGTAGCCACATATAGCCAAGCTGGCTTTATCGTGATTCTGGCAGATTATAATTTAGTTTTATGGATTCTTTTTCTGAAGAATCAAGTCAACAAACAAATGGTTTCACAATTATACAAGAGACACGTGCATATTGGATTTCATTTTGGGGATCAGAACCGACTCCAAACCATGAGAGCCTTCCATTTTTCTAACAACCCAAAACAACAAATTCTTCCTCCCAGATTCCTGGGATCAATGAGTGTCTTCCACAAAAATGGAGTCTGCTGGAAAGGAAACTCATGGGATACCTGGTGGACGTTTTTGACATTCCAAGGGGAAAAGTAAAAGGAAAATGTGTGAACAGAGAGAAATAGAAAAGGGGAGGAAGAAGGAGACAGAGTGGGGAGAGGAAATACCAACCAGACTGGGGCACATTTCCAGCTTTTCTGGGTACAGATAATTCTGTAGTGATGTGGGTTTGGTGTCCTCAGAGTTATGTGGTTTTGAGTTCATTTTTATTTGTGAGAATTAGATTAATTCTTTCTAGCTTTGAAAGAGGTTTTCCTGTTTTTTTTTGAAACCAGTAAGTTGGAGGTTAAATAAGGAATTGGGGGAGCAGTATACCTGTCTTGTGTTTCATTAATGATGAGGTGACTACTACCATACTGAAGCCCACCAAAATGAAAGATGGCATATAAACAGCTCTTTGGGGAGGGCTGTGGCCACTCTGCCCAGATTTCACCTTAAGTTTGGGCAGAGTTAGTGAAACCTAGGGAGTATTGCTATTAGGGAGACAGTATGTACAGCTGTGACCCATTTCATCCCCAAGCAGCATTACAGGGGCTTTGTCACCACATTACAGCAGAAGTAACTGAGGCTCCAAGAGGTTAAAAACGTCACCCAACAGCACATCACTTAGCAAAAGCTAATGACTCAGACTCCAATGACAAATCTTTTTCATCACAATATTGGTCCTTCAGATAAAAATATCATACCACTTCTGGCAGATTACATCAAATTCTTTGGCATTAATTTATATTTTCATGCAAATGGGAGATAAGGATTGCAAGGATAGTTTGGACCTCTGGATAACCTGGAAAAGAGGAGTGGTGGGTAGTATGGAACTTTCCCCTTGGCTTAGCCAGAGCTCTGTTGCCTCACTGACTGGTTCAGCTTCACTACTCTTTATCCAAACATATTTTTATCTTGACGTTTCTTATTTTACATGCGTGTCCCCCAACTATGTTGACTGGGGGCAACTTGAAGATAATATTTGCATCGTGTAAGCTCCTTGTACTGAGAAAGGTCCCATGAATTGACTCAACTCAAATTGAACTGAATTAAAATAATGGGAAGGAACCAAACCCTAGCAATGGGAATGGGGGTGGGATGGAGTGGGTAAGGGATAAGGGTGGGGTTGAACAGGAACAGGTGATACTAGATGAAACTAAGCTAAGTAATCAGCTTATAAAGAGTAGCTGACTACATTTGAGTTCTTTGAAAGATATCTAGAAACAACATCTGTCATATTTTTTTCCTTGAGAGAAAAGCTGTATGTCTGTTCCTTCAAAAATAGAAGTTGGAATAACATTGCCCTCCTAGGAATTGAGAGAATCAGTACCAAATGTTGTTTCTTCCATTGTGACAGACTGGTTTTGCTGTATTTTTGCTGTTGACTGTCATGTACAGTTAGGTTTGCAGTGATTGAATGTGTGTGTGTGTGTGTGTGTGTGTGTGTGTGTGTGTGTTAATGAATGAATGAAAGAAACCAAAAAGATGGAAGAGTTGAGGTCTTTTAGAGATGGAGGATACTTAATGAAAATCTTCCCCAGTTTCCTCATTTTTATAAGTGAGGACACCAAAGCCCAATAAAGACTTAGGGAGATCAAGCCATTATTTAAACACAAAGCTGGGACCCAAACTCAGGCCTTCATTTTTCTACCCAGAATTGTGCTTTTTCCACCAGCTATACTGATTACTAAGAGCACTTCTTTTCTTGGCTCATGATTCCCTCCTGGCAGATTGGCAGACAAGAATTGGGGTGGTATAGTGAGCAATCCTGGTTAAATCTTCACTTTGTTATGAATGTCAACCTGGATGTGTTTGTGTTTGCCTTTCCCCTCCCTAATTATCGAGCTGGATAACTGTTTGCCTACAGTACCCCTTGGCCACCCACTGTCCAACAGATAAATCACAGAGAAGCCTGGCTCCATGTGGAGTTGCCTGGAAAGTTTATACACATGAAAAG